ATGACAAGGGTAACAATTTGTAATTAAGCCACACCTCGTCGCGTTGCCAAAGAGTTCATGCACGAGTTTCCCATTGTAAACAAGGACCCCCATCGTAACAGCCGGCCATACCTATCCGGAAAAAAAACCGTTCCAAAAAATCTCCCTGGCATACGTCAATGGCCTGCCCGAGAAGCTGACCTCCCCCATTTAGACTGTTCGCAGACAACACGGTGGTGTACAGGACGATCAGCAACTGTTCTGACCATGAACAGCTGAGAGGACGATGAGCTGGGACATGGAATCTAATCCTGCCAAGTGCCAGACCCTGTCAGTCTCCAGAAGTAGAGCCGCTCTACTCCACCCTTACGTACTGCGTGGCCCTACGTTTGAGCCCATTTCCTCCGTAAGGTACTTCGGTGTTACCATTCAAAGAAAGGTCCGCGGAGCAAGCACATTAACAAAGTGTGCAAACGGGCAAAGAAAACCCTAGGGTTCCTAAAGGCGAAATCTAAGGATCGACAACTCCAGCCTGAAAGAAAAAGCCTTTGTCAGGCCGCTGTTAGATTACACATCTTCAGTCTGGGACCCATTCACCCAGAAGGGCATCGACAGGTTGGCGGCGGTTATTTTATTGACCCCTAACTCAGATTAGGGAAGCTCCCTACATGATTTGACCGCTGGAATAAGACCGATATATCCATATGGAAAGTCATGTTCGAATAAAAATTTCTGAGACGTGAATGCGAGCAATGATAGCTTAAGTATATTGAGGGTAATTGGTAGGTCTATTATATCAAGGGTTATAGGTAGGTCTATTATATCTAAGGTTATTGGTAGGTCTATAATATCAAGGGTTATAGGTAGGTCTATTATATCTAAGGTTATTGGTAGGTCTATTATATCAAGGGTAATTGGTAGGTCAATTATATCTAAGGTTGTTAGTAGGTCTATTATATCAAGGGTTATTGGTAGGTCTATTATATCTAAGGTTGTTGGTAGAACTACATGGATTACGGATTCAATGTGGGATCTCAAATAGAATTCAGGGATAAAAATAAATTCAATCGTAGCAATAACCAATATAGGAAAAATATAACTATTAATTTTCTTTATTTTTTTTATTTTTTTTTGGGGGGGGGGGAGGGGGGGGTTAATATCTTTAAAAAATGTGCAGTAGAGTCCGTTATGTTCCCCCCGACATGATACAGGGGTCCATGATACAGGGGTCCATGATCCACATACGGCTAAGAACCTTTTTGTTAGAAAGCTCTTTATTACAGCATTTTTTTTTTTTTTTTTTTTTTGGGGGGGGGGGGGGGGGGGGGGGGGTTAATATCTTTAAAAAATGTGCAGTAGAGTCCGTTATGTTCCCCCCGACATGATACAGGGGTCCATGATACAGGGGTCCATGATACACATACGGCTAAGAACCTTTTTGTTAGAAAGCTATTTATTACAGCCCTTACAACCACACATCCCAACCCTACAGCCAGGTGTTCAGCACTTAACAACATTAACTGTGTAGTCCCATATAAAGTGTGTCATTAGGCTAGGGATGTGATACTATGAACACTGTGAAATGTGGTGGCAGAGAGCATAGTACATCAAAGGCACAAATTATCATAATGAGATGGCAGAATCCTTGTGGGAGAATGTAGTTCATGTACTCCCTTACAATAAAGTACATATAAATAGTTATATACAAGTAGGTATAAATAAGTAGGTAAATATAAGTATGTACATTTAAGTAGTTTTTAAAGACTCATTTTCAAACAAAGAAAAAAAAATTTTGGACTTAACATTGCTATAAAAACAGTAGTTTTTCTCTATTCGCATTAAAATTTTCATCTTGTAGAGTGAAAGGTTCAAAACTCAGCTGCTAGGCTAATTATAAAAGCAAAAAATATGATCACGTCACACCACTACTCCATTCACTTCATTGGCTCCCTGCACATTCACGGATTGACTATAAACTCTCCACCACAACTTTTTCTCGAATTCCTGCCGTTCCTATCTACCCGAATTTCTCTATGTCTCTTCACCCCTTCGACAGCTTCGCTACTCCGCAGACGCACGTATTCTCTCTGTCCCTAAGACTCGCACAAATACACGCGGTGAGCGATCGTTCTCTTTCTGTGCACCCAAACAATGGAATTCTCTTCCATTACACATTCGCAATATACCGACCATCACAGCCTTCAAAACTGCACTCAAAACACATCTCTTTAAAAACTTTTCTATCCTGACTGATTCCCCCCACTGACCGATAAACGATGCTGCTGGGTGCCGTCCAAGGCTTGACATGTAAATAGATATGGCATGGGTTGAGTGAATATACATTTGTTTTTTGTTATTTAATTAATTTACGTTAATTTTTAAGTTCATGATTTTCTTTGTTAAACTGTATGCACATCGTGGTGAGCCCAGCCCTAGGCTGTATGCACATCGTGGTGAGCCCAGCCCTAGGCTGTATGCACATCGTGGTGAGCCCAGCCCTAGGCTGTATGCACATCGTGGTGAGCCCAGCCCTAGGCTGTATGCACATCGTGGTGAGCCCAGCCCTAGGCTGTATGCACATCGTGGTGAGCCCAGCCCTAGGCTGTATGCACATCGTGGTGAGCCCAGCCCTAGGCTGTATGCACATCGTGGTGAGCCCAGCCCTAGGCTGTATGCACATCGTGGTGAGCCCAGCCCTAGGCTGTATGCACATCGTGGTGAGCCCAGCCCTAGGCTGTATGCACATCGTGGTGAGCCCAGCCCTAGGCTGGGGTACCGCGCTATATAAAAACCAGCACTAATAATAATAATGTGAAGCGTAATTATTTATTTTTTTTTTACATACGTAGCATTTAAAGACGTTCTCGTGCAGTAGTCACCTGGTGAACGGCAGGAAAAGAATACAGGATCGACAGAGACAGGTTAACACTGTCGCTCAAACTATCGATGTTGACCGCATCTGCTTCGTTGAGGGAACGGGAAGGTGCTTGGGATCAGATCTACTTTTTAGTTGTATGCCTAGGTAAAGAGTCAAGTCACTTTAATCGAGATTTTGTCAGCATTCAATGTTTGAAAAAAGTTAATGATTATACTTTAGTTGATAATTTTAAGATGTCTTAAAAGTAAACAATAAAAATTTGTTCATAAAACTTTTTTTTTTTTTTTTTAAATCTATTATTATTAAAGACGAGTTTTTAAAACTCACTAAAAAAAGTAGAAAATAATAGAAAATTTCCCAAAATGAATTACTAAAAGAAAATCTGAAGCCAAGAGAAAAGAAAATTAAAAATTTGGAAACAAATCTTAATGCAATTAAACTAGAGCCACCGGAAGCAAAACCAAAGTCTGAACATGGCCAAGCAAGCGAGAAGCGGAAAATACGTACAACGAACCAAGGTGAAGGGACATAATCCCAACTTACAAACCAAAAAAGAAGGAAGAAGAGCGCTACTTATTCCCCTTACCACCTGACGTTCAGCTTACTCCCCCACCCCCTCCCTTGCCTTCTCCACCCATCCCTCCTCCAAAAAAAAAAAACCCATCTTCACCTCCCCCTTAACAAACGTATTCCCTAAACAAGATCCCTTATCGGCCTCCCCTACATTTTCCCTTCCCTAATCCCTATACCCTCCTTTCCTACACTGAGCCCATATCCTCCATATTACTACCGTTTCTCACTTTGGCCTACCTGTTAACCGTTCAATGTGATCCATTCCCTACATTGAAACCATACGCCCTCTTTTCCTACTGGCTCCCGACAACACTCACCCTGTTCCCGTTAAACCAGCCAACTTTTTGCCTATATTGCCCCCACCCTCTCTATTTCTACCGACTCCCTTCTTCCTCCCCCCTCCCACTTCCCTGTTGACCGTTCAATATTTTCCCTCGACTTGACCCCTTCCCTTCTCAGGGCCTGATTAAGGTGGGTGCTACTGATGCTGCATGCTTGGGACATTCCTGAGATAGAAGCTGATGGAAATAGACCAGGGGTCGGGAACCTATGGCTCGCGAGCCAGATGTGGCTCTATTGATGGCTGCATCTAGCTCGCAGACATATGTTCGATTATTAAAAAAATGTTCTTTTAGACTCCTTTGATCTACATATTAATTGCATATAAATATTTGATTAGCAACAGCATAACAATGTTATTAAAAATAATTCATAGACATAATTATTGCATTTTTAGTGCTGAAATGACACAAAATGCACACATTTACTTGAATTTTTAGTTTTAAACATCATGTATGGCTCTCACAGAATTACTTTTCAAAATATGTGGTGTCCATGGCTCTCTCGGACAAAATGGTTCCCGACCCCTGAAATAGACGAAAGTTCTCCGGAAGTTGAGCAGTTTTCCTTTGCTATATTAGCCTCAAATAATTCTTCCATTGAAATTTGGAGTCCGACTTTTGGATGTCTAAATATAGCAATACTTATTACAAGTTACTATTGTTCTTTGCACTGTGACGTAACTATAACGTCCAGTGCCGGCTTTAAGTATAGGAGGTAAAGGCGGCTCCCTGTTGGGGCACTTTTCAAGGGGCGGAACATTCCAGAGACAAAAAAAATGTGGGGGACAAAATATAAAAATAACAAAAATGGAGAAAAAAATTACATGACGCCCCTAACGCCCCATAAGTGTAAGTATTTACAAGATTAGGTTCACCCTGACCTTATGCATACAAATGTTCGAAAGTGATGACGGAAATTTTAATTTGTTAAGTCACGTGGTACATTAAATTAATCACATAAATATTTATAATTTAAAAAAAGTATTTTTAGAAACTTTAAAATAATTTAAACTTCTTAAAATGCATCACACAGAGAAAGACTGTACAGAAGTGAAGATGAGCACTCTAGGTAGCCAAAGACAGATTGTGCAGATGTGTAGATGACCACTCTATGTAGCGAAAGGGTTCGAAATAAATGTAGACAAAACTTAAATATTTTTTATTTTTATTATTTTTTTTTTTTTATATTTTCTGAACGGAAATTTTTTGCTTAACGCATTTTAAGAAATCTTAAATTATATTCTACTTTTCAGCATGTTTAAAATCGTCTTTGATAGAAAAAGAAAGTCTTTTTTTTTTATTTTAAATATTTTTTTAAATTTATTTTTTATGAATGATAATACAAATTAAATAAAATTGCCGCTGCTGTGACATGGCATGTGCTGGTGATGTACACAACTGATATAAAATTCAATTGTTCAAATCATGGCTATTAACAAACCTCATATCCTCATAGGACAGACCTCGTATAGACCAATTTATGTTTTTCCCTTTGCTCTATGGGAGTCATTTAACTGAAGGGTTCTTAACCTGTGGTTCCAAGATCTCTAGGGGTGAGTGAATGAAACAAGGGTTGGTGAGCTGCATTTGTTGTGTTATTTTATTTCTAAAAAGAGACAAAATGGCCTTCATCATTTCAGTGGCAAAGAACTCCATGTAAAACATAAATGTTCACATCCTGATTGAGCTAGAATCAATAAAAAAAACTATTTTTTTATCTATTGAGTTGAAATGGTTGGAACAAGACTAGTGAAACTCTTATTAAAATGAAACAATTTTCAAATCAGAGCAACTTTTCCAAACAAATCTGTTCCTTTTACTCACTTAGCAGTTCCTTGCTTTTCAGATTTATACTCTACCAAGGATTTCAGTCAATCATTTTATTTATAATGAGCTGAAAGGTCACTATTTGAATAAGTAGGTCTACATAAAGACTCGGCCGGCAGGCATTGTAGCTGAACTGTCTCACTGGGACTGATTGTATACCACTCAAATCCTGGTTGTCTGATTGCAAAAAATGGGTCAGCAAAAATGTCTTGTACATGGAAGCTCTACCAAAGTGAAACAAGGACAAAAGTTATGACCCTAGCGGTTTGGGGGTAGAGAGAGATTGGTGTTGAAAGCTGTTTTTTGCCGTCTGTTTTTGAAAGTTTACTTCAATTAACAAGATTAAAAAATGTATCCAAAGTATTTTAAATTTTACCTTGAATTTTTTATCCTGCTAAAAGTGAAACAATGATTCAATCTCTTGTCATTTTTACTATTATTTTATTGTTATTATCAAGAATACTTGGATGTCATTTTATCTGCATGGTTAAACAAATAAAAGTCAACAACAAAAACATATTTTACCTTACATAGGTAATTCATTAAAACAAAATTTTTACATAAAATAAATACTTTATTGGAAATTTTAACTTATTTTTCAATATCTTTATCAAGTTGTCTTTTTTTAAAATTTCCTCAGCATAAAAAACATCAACTGCATGTCGAATTTACTAAATATTGTATTCTTGCTTAAAACAAATGTGAAATTAAAACTTTCAAAAATTTTATCAGCAAATTGTGTTTTACAAAATGTATGTTATAATAAAAATGTTTGTACATATCACATAATATACTTGCAATCTTTTAAAAACAACTCCATTAATATTACCCAACTCACATAAACTTCCGACTCACATAAACTGCGGAATGATCATAAATTCATAGCATAGCCCTAAACACTACAATGTCATTTCAGTGGATTACATCAAGTTTTAAGTATGAAATATTACAAATTTTTACATTTTCTGATTTACGAAAACTGTCTAATGAATTAATTTATATGTTCATAGCCATATTTGAACAACCAGAATCTAATGCAGTTTTCGGTGTCTTTGACTCATGGTTTCTGTGGGTTTCAGTGTCTGTGACTCATGGTTTCTGCGGGTTTCAGTTTCCGTGACTCATGATTTTTGCAGAATTCAGTGTCTATGACTCTTGGTTTAGTTACAATGATTTGTCTATGCGGCTGATTTGGTTGTTTTAAGATTGAATCCTCCGCCAGTAAACCGCGGTGCATCTGTCCTTTGTGACATGATGGGTGGTCCGCCAGATTGAACTAATACTCTGTCTCGCTCCCTGAAAAACACAAATAATTGATGTCAGGAGCACCTTAAGGGGTTGTGAATGTTTTAGTGCAGGGAGGTCAAGTCTGAGAGATAAGGAGTTGTAAATGTTTTAGTGCAGGGAGGTCAAGTCTGAGAGATGAGGAGTTGTAAATGTTTTAGTGCAGGAAGGTCAAGTCTGAGAGATGAGGAGTTGTAAATGTTTTAGTGCAGGGAGGTCACGTTTGAGAGATAAGGAATTGAGAAATAAGGAATTTTAAATGTATAATTTTCTGTAACTGCTAATTTTTATTTGTAGCACAGTGAGCCCTGCCCTAGGCTAGGGTACTGAGCAGTGAGCCCTGCCCTAGGCTGGGGTACTGAGCAGTGAGCCCTGCCCTAGGCTGGGGTACTGAGCAGTGAGCCCTGCCCTAGGCTAGGGTACTGAGCAGTGAGCCCTGCCCTAGGCTGGGGTACTGAGCAGTGAGCCCTGCCCTAGGCTAGGGTACTGAGCAGTGAGCCCTGCCCTAGGCTGGGGTACTGAGCTATATAAAACAACCTTAATAATAATATTAATAATTGTAAATATTTTAGTGCAGGGCGGTCAAGACTGAGTGAGTTGGGAACAGTATGAGCACAGTATGGCTTAAAGGCTAGAAAATACAAGATAATATAATTAACAGTCTTTATTAATCACATATTGCTTTTACTAAGGAATTTCCAATAAGAATCATAACATTATTACATTACTCCACATACAGTATTAAGATGGTTTGGAAGCCGTGCTATTTGTGTACATATCGAAGCCATGCTATTTGTGTACATATCCTTCCTTTACATTTAACATTTTCTAACCAACAATAACTGGTCAAGATAAAAGTAAGAAATGAGCTATAGTATCTATTAATTCCTCCTTAAATCCTACAGTTAAAATATCATTTTTTCTACACACTAAATTAAATTTCCTTTCAAAAACTTACTTATTCTGTTGTTCCTTCTTCTTTTGCATAAAATACTTCTTTTTCACTTCCTGAAGCTCACGAGCGATTCGTTCTATTTCATATTTATATTCTGAGACTTGAGCTTCATACATGTTCAACTCGGATGCCATGCCCTGGAATTGAACAAGTAAAAGATTATCATAAGTGGTTCATATTTACAGGTCAGAATTTGTCAAATAAAGTGGAATTTGAGATGCACAGAGAAATAGAAAGCAATTTTTACATATGTAATAGACTGAAAATAACAAGTAAAGAAAAGGTAAGTGTGAGAAGAGGGATTGGAGAGTATGCTGTTCATACAAAAACTAAATGAGAATCATCTATATACTTTTTTAAATATTTTTTTTAGTTAGTTTTGCCAAATATAGGCAATGAGAATAAATGAATTTCAGACCTTTCTATCATTTTAGTCTGAAACCAAACCTGCTGTTAGATTGCTATTGGGTGAACATTTCACTGACCTTCATCTGTTTAGTTTTCTCTTTGAGTGTTTGCTGGTAGATGGTCAGCTGTTCGGCCACCTCTGGTCCTGGCTGACGTGCCAGGATGTGCTTGAGTTCTAGGTAAAGTTTTTCTTTCTCCTGTATCAATAATTCCTTCTCCACAACTTCCTCTGTCTTCTGGATGAGTCGCTTCTGCAGGGTGTGGATCTTCTGGATCATCTCATAAGTGGATGGGTCACTGCCCTGTGGATATAAAAAGAATTAATTAGTGAAAAAAACATCAAAACTATTTTTGTCCTGGTTAATAGTGGCCAGGTGAATTCCCTGTGATTAAAAGGATTGTATTTTTTATAACACATTTAATTTTGAACCAGTCCTCCTCAAGGAGAAAATGATCACTGTATAACCTCACTGGCAAAAATATGAAGGCTGTGGACACACAGAAACATCAACTGGCCAACACAGCTTGGCATTAATATGCGACGTAATTTTGGACACTTCAACTGGCATTCTTCCTTTAGCCTTAACCATAAGGGTGTAGCCACAAAACAGAAGAGATTTGTGGTCAGAGTTTGGTTTCAAGTAGATGGGTAAGAGTCCAAGGATGACAAGTCACATCTACCCAAGGTGCCTGGATGTGCACTGATTTATTTTCTGATACATAAGTCATGTTTAGGTGTTGACCCACCTACTGACACAGCCCCCCTGTCCTCCAAATTGATGACATACATGTAATAAATAATTTTGTGTCATGGTTTTTTCAACCTTGTTGTCTTTATTCTTCTACAAAGTGTTTTAGTCATTGTTTCCTTCCATTGTTGACTTACATTGTTTCCTTCCATTGTTGACTTACATTGCATATTGCTGGCTCACAAAATATGATTTGAGTTAATTAATATCTGGATGCCAAAATTCACAAATATTCAAGACTCTATTTCATGAATTATTATTGCAATGAGATAGCTGACATCCATTCCAATAGATGAGACATCCATACCAATAGATGAGACATCCATACCGATAGATGATACATCCATACCAATAGATGATACATCCATACCAATAGATGATACATCCATTCCAATAGATGATACATCCATTCCAATAGATGATACATCCATTCCAATAGATGATACATCCATTCCAATAGATGATACATCCATACCAATAGATGAGACATCCATACCAATAGATGATACATCCATTCCAATAGATGAGAAATTTGTTTGTCATCAAGTAGTTTTATCTCGGTCAAATGCAATATTTTAATGGATTGCTAAAAGTTCTGTTAAAGAAATGTTTTATATCTTGGAAATAAAATTCATAAGATAGTTTATCTACCTCTAGTTTCCTCCATCGATGAATATTCATAGGATTTTCTAACTCTTCTTCCAAAGCTTTACACCTGGTTCTCTCCCTTAGCAGTTCCCGTTGAATATGATAGACTTCCCTCCTGAGAAAATAAAAATTAAAAGTTGAGTCCATCATGACCGATTGATCCTACAACACAATGCAATCTACCCAATGCAGCATTGTAAATCTGTTTTTCTAAGACAATGAACAGTCATCAAAAATAGTTTTATAATTTCTTTTCTTATGCATTTACAATCTCAACAACATCTAGGATCAGGGTCGGGGGGAGGGGGGTTGGGGGCTTTGTCAAATTACTTATTTATCTTCTACTTTTTCATTAACTGTAAGTGTTTGTAATTTCATTGAAGAATATTTGCATGACTGTATATTGATTTCTGTTTTATGTGTAAAAAAAAGATATACTGCTTTCAAAACAATACATGACATTGACTGAGAAGTATTAGATGACATGACATAGAATAAGATGTATTGGAATGAGAAATCATGCTGCCTCTGAGAAACAGAAAATGCAGCAGAATATTAAAACAAATGTATGAAGATTCGTGACATTGCTAGAGGACTTAATGAAAATAGCCAGATCAGAAAGATAACACATTTTTTAAAAATCAAAAATAGGAATAGTTATACTCGGGTAAAATTACAAGCACATTTATGCCCCACAGTTCTAAATAGAAACTTCCTGTTGAGTTGCCCTATATTAACCCTCTACAGCTGGCAGTTACCTCAGGTCCTGGACATTAGCTACACTCTTCTGGAGAATAACTTTCTCTCTTCTCATTTTCTTAATCTCCAGCTTGAGAATTCGAATATCTTCACATCGTTGGTTGTATTGTATCTCTCCCTTGTTGAGCACTGACTGCTGAATCTTAATCTTTTCATACAAGAGAGCCAGCTCATCATTGCGCCTCACAAGTTGTGTGCCAAGGATGTCTCTCTCACTAATCACCTAATGTGAGAAAATTTACACACATGTGACAACTGAAGACTGAGAAAACTTATAGTAACAGTTATTATAACTATTTGATTTATTTACAAAATTGTACCTCAAACATTGTTTCTTATTTTATAAATCCAAGGATTTGATAAAAAATAAGTTGCGTATTTTGAAAACATCACTGAAAATTAAAACCAGTTTATCTTTGCTACAGCCATGTTAACATAAAAAAATAAAAGAGTTTTAAATGTAAGATCATTTTAAAAGTTCATGCTATTGGTGAGATGCGTTTGGTGATGCTATTGGTGAGATGCTATTGGTGAGATGCTATTGGTGAGATGCTATTGGTGAGATGCTATTGGTGAGATGCTATTGGTGAGATGCTATTGGTGAGATGCTTTTGGTGATGCTATTGGTGAGATGCTATTGGTGAGATGCTATTGGTGAGATGCTATTGGTGAGATGCTTTTGGTGATGCTATTGGTGAGATGCTTTTGGTGATGCTATTGGTGAGATGCTATTGGTGAGATGCTATTGGTGAGATGCTATTGGTGAGATGCTATTGGTGAGATGCTATTGGTGGGATGCTATTGGTGAGATGCTATTGGTGAGATGCTATTGGTGAGATGCTATTGGTGAGATGCTATTGGTGAGATGCTATTGGTTAGATGCTATTGGTGAGATGCTATTGGTGAGATGCTATTGGTGAAGAATTATAAAACTATTTTTGGTGACAATATTTTTCTCATTAGTTGTAACTTTTGTAATTTCATTGAAGCAGATTTGATTTTAAAAATATCAATTTTAATTTGTAAATAGAAAAGAAAGGGGTGTTTTACTACCAGTATCAATTATCATTTTGATTTTGATTAAATGTTAACCATCCAGCAACTGGCCAACATTTACTCACCTGGTCGAGCTCTTTTTTCTGTCTGACCCTCTCAGCATCAGCCTCTCTGATGATCATAAGTAATTTTTTTTCCTCCTGTACCTGGGCCTCCATGTGATTCTTGTTCTCCAAGGCAAGTTGTTTCATCTTTTGTAACTCAGCCTATTAGTAAGTTATAGAATGAAAATTGGTATCATAGTGGCATGCATTTTTCAACATTTATTCAAATGAACTCAGAGGCAAATCAAACAAAGGCCAAACAGGCAAAGTGGTCTACATTTTTTTTTTATCCAAAAATTTATTTTAAATGCATCTTATTTATTATTTATGCAATTTAAAAAAAAATAATGAATAAAACATTTTGAAAAAATACAGATTTATAGAAAATATCAGTCATTTAAAAGTCAACAGTACAGAAGAATGCTTCAAACTAAAAATTATTTCATTATGATACCTTCAGCGTATCTTTCTCCTTTTCAACTTGTTGGTTAATCAAAGTCTCTTTGACCAGAGCGGCTTCCTTGGCCTGAATTTCTTCCTTGAGTTGGTCAATCTGATGTGTCATGATCCTTAGTTTGCGTCTCATTTCTGTGATCTCATCCTATTCAACAAAATCGGTTTACAATATTTTTATCTTTTTTTTATCGTCAACCACATACTTTATACTTAAAACAGAATAATGCATGTCAACAGGGCCGGCTCAAGGTACTGGCAGCTTTGGCAGTTGCCCGGGGCACCATGTGCACCATCAACGATCTTCCAAAATAGAAAAAATCAATGCATGTGGAAACCATGGAAGAAAAATAGCAAGTGCAATAAAAAGATTAGCTGATCTAAAGGCTAGAAAGAAAAAAGTAATCGGTAGGCTAATTGTACATACTGCCCATGGTAGGCTAATTGTTCATACTTCCCATCGTAGGCTAATTTCCATAATTCCCATGGTAGGCTAATTGTTCATACTGTCCAAATAAAAGTTAAAAAAATAATTTTATTGTTCATCTTTGTTAATAAACTCATAACCAAAACCCCAGTTTTTTCCTTGCACAAATTTTATGATTATACTTTTAAGGGATGCCAAAGTTAAGCTTGCTTGAGATGCCAGCAACCGTAGGGCCAACCCTGCATGTAAATACCTGTAAAGTTTTACTAAGTGACTGATAAATATTGAGACCTTGCATGGGTCAATGCATTAAATATAAAATTAGAACTTCTAGGAGTTTTCTTCTTCCAGTAATGTGAAAGTCAATTATTATTAACTCTTTCGCTGCGGAATTTTTTCATCAAAAAAATGTACATTTTTTTCAAAGAGCGGAAAAAGAGTGAGAGGTTGGGTTTTTTTTTTAAATATTAAAAATATTATTCTTTGGTTTATAAGACTAAACTTAGTATCAAATGAAAGGTAATTAAAAGGACTATATATTTGTACACTAGTTTCTACAGTTTAAAAAAAAATAAGTTACACGAAAGAACCATAAAATGTGAAAATATTTTATGCTAAACCATTTTTCCCCAAACCCAACGATATACGCATACCTTATCCTCAATTCTATAACTCAATTCCTCTAAAACTACTACCATCGGAATCATGCGATGCATCTAAATATAAATCATCTTCGCTGTCAAAACAAATATTATAAAACAATTTCAAAGCTTTTTTAACTGTTAATCGTCTAGGAAACGTACCTACTAGAGACTAGGGTAGCCATAGCAACTTAAAAAAAAAAAAGACGCGAAGAAAAACATCAAAATAATGCTTCAATTGACAATAAATAAGCCTTGGTTTCGATTGTAAACAATGAAGTACCACTCTTCTATGTAAAAGTCTTATTTAAAAATAGCGCTTAAAAAGTTTAACCGAGAAATAGCAAAGAAAGAAACGTGATATTGAAACAACGCACAGCACGTTGGTCCGTGCTTTTGAGAACGGCGGAAGAACGCAGTGTGCGTTGTTCCGCATTGAAAGAGTTAACAGCCTCTTTAAATACTTAATAACTTAGCTAAGGTACAATTTTTTAATTTTGTATTTCATTATTTCATTGTTGTTTGAGTGTTACAGCTAACAGTCTCAGTTTGAGTGCTATTATAATTAAAAGTTTTAGTATAAGAGTAATCTTTTGTTATGCCTTCATTATTAATGTATTTTTCCAAAAATATGGATTTAAAGAGTTTATCAGTAAATACTATATTGTGAGTAGATTTCTACGTAGAAAAATCACCTGAGATTCAATTAAGTTTTTGCTGTACAAGTTTCTGTCTGAGCGGACAGCTTCATAAAGATTTTGCTGTTGCTTCAATTTAGTTTCAGCCTCAGCAATCTTCTTCTTGTAGTCAAAAATCTGCATCTCTCGAACTTTTACATCTTCCATGTGTTGAAGAACCTGAAGAAAATTTTAATTTCAAAATTTGCATGAGTTTCATGAAACTCACTCCCTTGTCACTCTGTCATGTCAAATTCTCTGCTTTATGAATTACTTAATCTAAACAATTATTTCTTTTCAAATAAAAAATATTAATTTCTTCATTATAACGAAATTTATTGCAAAATAACAAAAATATGCCATCTCCGTTTTCGATAAGTCTCTTACAGCTATAGCTTTACCAGTTGATAAAAAACATTTACCTTCTGGGTAAGGTCACTGGCCTCGTTGATATACCGATCTCTCTCTTTCTCCAACTGGTAGATAATCTTTCGCTGCTTCTGGGCCTCCTCCTTGTAGTTGGAGATTTCCTGTTCCAAGTTTTTCTTAGACTGGTCATGTAACTTAACGAGGTGAAGCTGCTTTTGTGTGGCTCCAGCTGCTTTCAGCAGATTCTAGGTAACAAATAGATCATTTTAAATGGGAAAGGTGAGAAATAAATTAAAGATAATATAATTATATACAGGCAGAATTTTTTTTTAACTATAGAAAATGCAAGTAGTATTAAAAACAAACCTTATTCAATATGTCTCTTTCTCTGATTAAGTCGTCTATGGCTTTCTTGTCAAGCTCAGCCTGTTTTTTGGCTGCCTCAAGTTCTGAAGATAAAAATAAAGGTTCTTTATACATTTTCAAAGCAAAATAATTTTGTACATGTAAATTTTTTCAAAATTTTTAATTTTTATTACTAATGCTCAAAAACTTTAAAATGACTTGCCCCTTTCTAAGCCATTTATCTGCCCTTTCAGTGTCTCCTTCTGTTGGTCAATTTCAGCTTTGCTTTCTTCAACACTCCTCAGCTTTCGCTGGATGGTGTCTCTCAGTTTGTTTTGACGCTGGCTCTCTGACTTCTGGTTATTAAGCTCATCCTCTCGTTGCTGTGATTTTTAAAAAAAACAAAGATAACAGACAAATGTGTACATAGAATCTTTAAAAAATAACAGATAAAATTAAGTATACATAGAATCTTCAAAATAAATAGTTCAATATAATAATGAGGTTTAACCCAACACATTTTCAAATATTGAAAAAAAATTTGACAGGATATTTAATACTATTGTTATGAATTTATTTTTTCTAAGCCCAAAATAAATGTATTTTTAACAATACTTGTTTTTTTAAAGTATAATTTATACTTTAAAACATCTGCACTTTTCTATAAGAAGCAATTTCTGATAATTTTAAATGCCTATTCTGTTAAGAATTGGCTTACCTTTAATATCGTTGATTGAGCTTGATTCTCTTGAGCCAAAGTGTCAGCAATCACAAGCTGACTCTCATATTCAGAAGTCACTTTATTCAGCCGTGCATTCAGCATTTCAGCATCTTTAAGAGTACGCTCACTTAAAACCTGTTTAAAAGTTTAAAGCAATAAAAAATAGTTTACCCTTTTTAATGAAACAAAACAATTTTTTAGAAGTTTTAAGCTAAATAATATAAGTATTGAGAAAAGGCCTCCATGAAGATTTTTATTGCTGGAAGAATGTATTTTCTTTCTACATTAACTTATCTCCACCAAATATTTAGCCATATTCTGTTCCTGGTCTCACTCCTTATTTTCCTCGCAAAATTGGATCCACTGATTTTAGATTATTATCAGGGATATTTGTACTAGCCCTTCCTTTGTAAAAATTATCCTATGACATTGTTACTTATACATGACAAGCCAAAGTGTGTACCCTTTGCTCTTTGAGCTGTTGGTCTAATGTTTCCTTTTCCTCCTTGTAGTGCTCAATCTGATTCTGCATTTTCTTAATCTCAGAGTTTTTGGCATCCAGCTCAGCCTTGGCTTGGGTCAGGTCACGCTCTAATTTGTCACGCTTACGAGACTCACGCTGGGCTTCATTGTTGCGCATCTGAATGTCCGAGTTTAGCTGAAATTAAACCCACACTGACCATTAATTTAACAAAAGGATTTTACCTTGTTGCAGCTTCAAATTGAAAGTTAATAATATGTTAATTTAAAATAAAACTTAACTGAAGGTCATTTTAATCTATGTTTGCAAGAATAGCTGATATTTTCTTGACACCATTCAATGACAAACCTGGATAATCTTATCTTCAGCATCGGCTTTGTCTGCCTCAAGCTTCTGCTGCAGATTTTTTGCTTGTGTCAGCTGTTCTCGGAGCTTGGTGATATCCATGAGCTGGTCATCCCTCTCTCTGGTCAACTCCTCCTTCATCTTTAAGAGTTCATTGACACTGTTGAAAGGTCAATAATTAGTTTTCTTATCAACAAATGTATCGCTGAAATGAAACTGCCCAATGTCAAAGAATGTTTTCATGCCAAGTATCAAAAAATAAGTTTAATATGTAACATTTTAAATCTTGGCGTCATTTGTGATTCCAACCTCTGTCATTAGAACAAAACCATATTTTTTAAAAATTATACTGTTAATACAATATCATACCTATGATCCTGACCAATGGTGAGTCCTGCTCCCTGTTCAACAAGCTTACTTAGCTGTTCAATCTCTGATTTTAAACGTTGAGCTGTTTCCTTTGATTTGGACTCTTTTTCATGAGCAGTATCCACCATTTTCCAAGCTTTCTCTACTTCCTGTAACAATAAGACGTCATTTTTATTATTTTAAATATATCCTAGCCAAGGTAATAATGATTCTAATTATTGAATAGAAACAAATACAAAAACTTGACTTGCCCGTTATTTGACAAAAATACAACAAATTTTTTTGTAAATTAATGAATTCAAAGATTTGAAATCAAGGAATGAAATTAATTTAAAATCATCATTTAAACATTTTACATTTAAAAGTATTTTTACAGCTCACTTTTTTAAGGGATGCTATGGTGGCTTGGTCTTCCTGGGATAGTTTAAGGGCTGTGACAACCTTAGCAGAGTTGGCAACAATTTCAGCATTAAGCTCTCTGCATTTTTGCATAAGTCGTCTTTCACTCTCGTGAGACTTCTTGAGGGCTTTGTGTAGCTTTTCATATTCTAGGCGGAACTTTTCTAAACTCCTATCACCTGTGAGCTCAACAAGAACCTGAAAAAACAGATTAGTAAATGTATTAGGCTTGATTTTTTTTTAAACATTTTCATTGGGGAGGGAAATAATTATCTAGAATGTAAAGACTCTTTGAAAAATTTATTTCACTTATTTGAATGGAAGGTTTTTTTTATAGACATCTTGAGAAAATTCCAGAGTACAGATATAGGCATAAAGGAAAGTGGAGATGCTGACGATTGGTATTTTTTGTTAACTGTTTAATTAAAAAAGGGTAAAATTATATTATTATCAGTTATATCAGAATCATTAGCTTTGAGGATATTTTTTTTAAATTTCAGATACCATCTGATATTAGAATTAATCAATTTTATTTTGTTTTATATCCTGAAGCTATATACATGATCTTCAAAGTAAATCTCTTGGCATATTTAAAAAATTAATAAAATTAAGTGGATAAGTGAGTAAGAGACAAGCAAAAGTCTCCAAAATATAATGCTGCATTTGATTCTGAGCGATGAGTCTTAGTTTTGTGTTCACATAGTAAGATAATTATGTGATAAGTCTATATTATAATTCTGATCAATATTAAGTCAAATGCGTAACAAATTACCACATCAAATGTTTACCTCTTGGAAATCTTTCTCTAAAGCCTCAAATGCACTGTCATCAATGGGTGGCTTCTCTTTGTCTTTTTTTTCCTGTACATAAAACAGAAATACAATGACAATAGCTTTCATTGATGATCAAAATTATCCAGTAATAAAACAAGAATATTTATGACTATATTTATACAACAAGGGTTGTGCAGAGGACATTTGGGCCCCAAGCAAATCTGAATATTGGGCCGCCACAATTTTCATAACAATTCCATTTAAAAATCTGCCCCCAAATGGGCAGGGCCCTAAGTGATTTAATTAGTTGCCTCAGCCTCTGTGCTACCCTGTATACAACAAGTAAACAGAAATACAGTGACAATAGCTTTTTTTATTATCATAAATATATGTACAACAATAAAACGGAATGACAATAGCTTTTATTTATGATTATATTTATATAACAATAAAAAGCAATTGTAAACAAATCAACAAACATCCCGAAGTAAAACATGTACACAAATAAAAGTAAAAAACATTCAAACATGGTATCTGCCAAAATGTATAGAAAGTCAAGAAGTACTAAATAATACATACTCATACATTTTTTTTTTCAAATTCATGTTAAATAAATAGAGGGTCGCATATTATTATATTATAGTACCTTATATGAGAGACACAAAGTCCTGTTTGTTGTGATGGCTGATAATTTTGTTTACTTATTTATTACTAGGTTATTACTGTTCACAATGATTATATTAATTTTAAAAAACAATAACAACACAAAGTTAGTCCTAGCAAAGTGGTTCACATGGTTATCTGATTTCAAATTTAACAATTGCATTGTTTTTTAAATTATTAAGGCTTAAGGCAATGGCAATGAACAATGATTTTATTTTTATTTGACTTTTATGTTAAGCTTTAGTTTTTTAGCCCTATCATCCATATCATCAAATGCCTATCCCAATAATGATATGTTTAAGTTTAATGATTAATGGTTTATCATCTCAATCTTAACTTACTTAGACTTATTATTATACTTATAGTTATTTTATAAATTATAGTTTATAGTTTTAAAATAATGTTTTCACTTCAACAATGAAAATGTGAGGATTTTATTTCAGTCTCCCACTCATAAACATATTGTTTAGAGTTTATGCAAGTGCCTGTTTAATCTGTAACTTTGGAACCAAAGGTGGTTGGACTTGAATTAAACTACTCGCTGACTAATAAAATAATGAAGTATGAAGACTGAAACTGACAAGTAGATTTGAAATTCAATGATAACAAAGACAAAACTGACTATACAAGCGACTAACGAGATAGATTAAATATTAAATTATAGTTTAAAAGTTCCAGGCATTTAAATTCTTACCTCGGACATGGTGAAAGTGTTTTTAAATATCTAAACTTAAATGTGTGTATCAATCACCTGTCGGAAAAAATATGTCGCCACTGTTTCTATGGCCAGCAGTTGCTAGGGATTTGAGTTATTTCCCTTGATTAAAAAAAACAAATCTTTTCTTTCTAAGTTTCAAAATTTCATATTTAAACTCAGTTCTGTCCCTTATTTTTTAAAAAAAAAATTATTACTTTTACTTTTCAATTACGGTAAATAATCATGACAATACTAAAGGTTTTCTCTGAACACGTGCTCAAAGCATTTTAGATTTAATTATTTTAAAAAATTAAATTAAGATTTAATTTTTTTTCAGTCTCTATTTCCTCTTGAAACAACTTCAAATTGATCAGAGCCATTCGGATGCGAATAACAACAAAAAAATCGGGAAAAGGGGGGGGGGGCGAATTGGGCAGCCGCCCCGGCACCATCAGCAGCGGGTGTCAAAATCAACAATACCGGCCAATATCATTAGTGTAAGAGTTGGGTGTCCTGCGCCGGGTTTGACTGGGTTCTCTTTCCTTTGATGGGCGGCATTTTCGGTCCCCAAGCCCAAGCAACGAAAATAAGATAGGCATAATTGACGGGTCAAAAGACGCGGTGCATAATTTAATTATAAAATTAATAAATCATTAATTAATTATTACTACTTTTATTCTGAACTCCTTTTTTTAAAGGCTAAATTTTAAAAAATCCGTTTTTTTTTTGTTTTTTTTTGTTGTTTTTTTTAAAGACCCAGTTCAAAGAAATACATCAGTGAGAGATAACAGCAGCGAGGTTAAACAAAACAAGCCGAGAAAAACTAACGTCATAGTCATAGTCATCAAAGGCATTTGACGGATTGTTGTCATGTCATTTGATGACGTCAGGATGATAGGAAGTCCACCCCATGTGGCAAAATGTGAACCTACGTCACTGTCTATATCACACATCATTTAGTGATGAAAATGAAACTGGGGGATGGGGGTGGGTTGCCCCGTGCGCACCTTGTCTTTCGCATGGTCTTGACTAAGATTAGCCTACTTGAGGCAATTTTTAAAAATCTTTTTTATTCGTACCGTATCAGAAAAAATTAAGATATTGTTGATCATGTCCTCTATTGGGCATAAGCAAGTGTGTTGTTTGTCAGTCAGGGGTCGACCATGACAACTTTAATCATCAGAGTTTGTGATGGTTCTGTCTGTGGGTGTGCAGATGGCTAATGAGGTCGATTCTGTCACGAAATTCTCTTGTGCAATAGGTGCGGGGGAATTATTGGCGCATCTCCGGGAGCAGAGTCAGACCGGGCCTTCCTGTCATGTCTCTTGCGCTCTGCAGCCGCTGTTCTCCCAACTTCTTGTGGTATGGAGCTTCTGTGCAAAGTGGAACGCCATGAAGTTCGATCCTTTGCATGTTCCTCCCTCGTGTCTGGGTTTATGTTGAACGCTTTCAGTGAGGCTTTTATGTTGTCTTTAAAGCGTTTTTTCTGTCCGCCATGCAGACCGCTTTCCTTGTTCAAGCTCACCATAACATTTTTTTTTGGGGGGGGGGGAAGACGGTCATCTGACATTCTCATAACATGTCCCGCCCAGCGAAGCTGGAACTTCATCAAGATTGTGAAGCTGCTGGGGAGACCTCAATTTGAGCACCTCAGTGTCTGGGACCCTGTCCTGCAATTTAATATTGATTATTTTTCATAGTCTTGTTGTATGAAAGTGGTTCAGCATTCTTGCATGTCGTTGGTAGACCGTCTATGTTTCACAGGCACAGAGAAGCGTAGGGAGAAGAGCCGCCTGATCACTGATATACCTTCAGTTTAGTTTCAGTGTTGATACCTCTCCTGGTCCATACGTTCGTAGTCAATCTTTCATATGTTGTACTGGCTTTTGCAATACGGAGGTTAACCTCTTCATCGATGGTTGTGCTTTGGGACAGTGTGCTGCCGAGATAGGAAAAGCCTTTTACCACCTTAGGTATGCTAAGCAAGTAATTAGAATATCGATGTACAGCCCTTAAACGGGAAAATGTCGTATCTACGCATCTTTTATACTACATATTTTAAATAACAATAATCAAATTGTACGTATGAACACAGATGCCTTACCTTTTAAATGTTCAGTCATTAGTTAGCTTAACGTTCCAAAATAATTCCAGCAGCTGTCATTTACCCAGCTATGTTTGCACAGACTACAGATTTTTGTATTAAAAGCTGGCTGTTTTACTATTTGTGTAGTTGGGATTTACCTCCAAAAGAATAACTGCATTTCTAAGCTTTATTTACCAACATAGTTCAAAGGAATATTCTCTCGCATTCAGATTTTCAGCATCAGACTTTGCTGTGTCAAGATTTGTGTTTTGATATTGAATATCACATAATTTTTTTTTTGTTATGTGTATGGTGTAAAAGCATATTGAATTTGTTTAAAGTTGTCAATCAAATACTCTTATTATGACAGCTTTCTTTTAGTTCATGTTATAGTTTCGCCCACATATTTAACTTTAGCAAGTAACTCTGCCATTTACTACTTAGTTGAATGCTGAGCCATTTTGTAAATTATATCTGCTAAGAGAATAATTTGGTAGCTCTCCACGACCTACTAGAAATACTCTTGTGGGTCGTGAGGTGGCCGGGTGGGACCGCTGATTGTTTATATGACATAATTAAAATATAGATTAATGAAAACACACAATATCACAAAGCAGAAAATATATATATATTTTTAGACGTGAAAAATATTATAAAAAACAACACATATTCTTTTGTTTTGTAAACAAATTTTATTTCTATTTCTATTCAAAATATTGAAAGCTCTAAATTACACACTAGCATATTAAATCCTCGGATGATTAAGGCATCTACACACAACTTCCACTTCAAACACAGCGCACTAAAAGTAAGGCATCTATACACAACCTCCACTAAAACACACCTATAATCTGTTGTCTTTAAATTTTAAATGATCATATTTATTCTTAAATTAACGAAGTCTTTTATTCCCTATTAATGGACTTTAACCAACCATTAATTTGGCAAAATTTTCTCAGATATATCATTCAAATAAATAATCTCTAAAAATAAAATCATGTATGCCCTCTGCAGTTACCTTCAGATTTATTTTTTAGATCAATGCTCATGAAACGGACCTGGGCCAGTAATAGGTCGCTAGCAAAATATTTATCATCTTATAAATTAGAGAACTCAAAGTTGTTACACAGATTATCTTTTCTGATTTATTTTCTTTTATTATAACATATTTATATCATATTTAGGTCATAACTTTAATGTCCTAAATATGTTTTTTGAAGTTCAATGTATCAATTCAATATGATAACTAGTATGAGCAGCACTGTTGCACTTCATGATTCTTTATTTTACACTCGCCTAAAACAGTTATTGTTTTTTTAATAACTTGTTACAGCATCACTTTAATCAGCACTCTGAAAGCCCACATAATTAAAATAAATATTGGCATTTGTGCTTCAAGTTCAACACAACAATGTTCAAGTGGAGATCAAATGTTGGACAAGGCTACAATGTGGTCACAACTAGACTTAACAGATGTTTTGTGAGTCAAAAGATCCGAAAAATGAAAACGTATAAAAGTGAAGAATACCATATCAATTGTACCATATCTAAATAACAAGACAACAATCAGCTTTTGTTTGCTTTGTACCAGTATATACGTTTTGGTCTTATCATTGCATTAATAAAACATGTTTGAAAAAAAAAAAAAAGCCTAGATTAAAAAATGTAGAAATATTCCAGGACTTTATAAATATAAAAATATTCCAAAATTCTATTTACTCACAAATTAATAACAGCTAGGGGACGGACAGTTTTCATGGCAAGTTACCTACAAAAGATTTCAGACTGCAAATTCTATGGCAGTTTTGTAAGTGCATCCTTGAATAAAATTTTGCATGAGGGAAAAATGTACACAAAAAAACAAATTTTTTTTTTTTAAATCCTGACAAGTAGTTACATTTTTGAATGTCAAGTGAAATCACACCCAGTGAAATTCTTTTTGTTAGCAACTATTGGCCATGAGGACACCTTTATAGCTACGGTGTACTGTACTAGGAAGGCAAGCAATAAACATGGTTCATACCTAGTTGTTGAGCTTGCAGGTCATCCAAAGAAAACTTGGCACCTACTTTACAGAAGTGTAAATGTTGATAGATATTCAAACAGTGCTGGTGTCAGCTTTGTACGGTTTGTTGTCATATTATATTTTCAAAAACTTGCATGTTTAGTGACTTAACCTAAAGATTTGAAACTGGGCAAAACATGTGAAAAGGTCATAGACAGATAGGTGATGAGTTTATTCAAGACTCAGGGCGTACGCAACTTCAAACTTTGTTTCACCTCAGAGTATTCTCACAATTCAAAACAAGGTGAACATATTTGTCAAAATGTGTAGATATTTACAGAAGGTGAAGTGATTCAAGTCTCCTGACAATCGAATTGAAAAGGAAACAATAAATAGAAAAACAAAATGATAAATATAAATAACGTCACAAATGCAGTTCAGGGGAAATAGTTTAACTCATCGACATGATGTTTTTTCAAGTCCATATTTAAATGTGAAGATGTCAGATGCCTAAGTTTTCCTGTTTATACTTACATAGTTAAAATATGAATTAATGTTCTGAGAGTGCATTTAAGCTACTTAAGTGTCATGATTGTTCACAGTACAAAGACCATCTCACATTAATGGATACCATTGCAAATTCGGTTTAAAAAAACTTTGCTTCCTCTTTTTAAGCTTGAAACACAAAGTAATATCTGAATCATGTTTTCCTGAGACTAATTGGGCAGTGTTATGATCCCTAGATGCAGAAACCTGACATGATGTCAGGTCAAGTGCATTGAATTCAAATTTAGCCGAGAGCCGACTGCAGCAATGTACAGTAATGATCCAGTGTACACCTAGCGTCTTGCTGTTCACTCATCCCCACCATCGTAAGGTTGGCCCGAGTGTAGTTGTATAAAATCTCAAGGTCTTGAAAGGATTTCACGGCAGATTTCAGATTCATCATGGCACAACTTTCCGCTGAAATGGAATAATGGAAAATAATGTCATAAAATCTCACTTTTGATGAATGATTCACTTCATGATTCATTGACGGAACTAATTTTGAACTCTTCAAGAGTTAACTTACAAAAGACAGCAAGGTCTTGATCCACTCTTTTCCTGGCAAACTGTCCAAGAGCAATCAGAAATTCCTCCTCTGAAAAATAAATTATTTGTAATTACTTTTATTAGATGCTAGCAGTACGCCTACCCTAATGATATTTAGACCATTCCCCTCAACTCAGTACGCCTACCCTAATGATATTTAGACCATTCCCCTCAACTCAGTACACACCTACTTTAATGATATTTAGACCATTCCCCTCAACTCAGTACACCTACCCTAATGATATTTAGACCATTCCCCTCAACTCAGAACACTACCCTAATGATATTTAGACCATTCCCCTCAACTCAGTACACCTACCCTAATGATATTTAGACTATTCCCCTCAACTCAGTACACCTACCCTAATGATATTTAGACCATTCCCTCAACTCAGTACACCTACCCTAATGATATTTAGACCATTTCCTTCAACTCAGTACGCCTACCCTAATGATATTTAGACCATTCCCCTCAACTCAGTACAACTTCCCTAATGATATTTAGACCATTCCCCTCAACTCAGTACACCTACCCTAATGATATTTAGACCATTCCCCTCAACTCAGTACACCTTCCCTAATGATATTTAGACCATTCCCCTCAAATCAGTACGCCTACCCTAATGATATTTAGACTATTCCCCTCAACTCAGTACACCTACCCTAATGATATTTAGACCATTCCCCTCAACTCAGTACACCTACCCTAATGATATTTAGACCATTTCCTTCAACTCAGTATGCCTACCCTAATGATATTTAGACCATTCCCCTCAACTCAGTACGCCTACCCTAATGATATTTAGACCATTCCCCTCAACTCAGTACGCCTACCCTAATGATATTTAGACCATTCCCCATAACTCAGTACGCCTACCCTAATGATATTTAGACCATTCCCCTCAACTCAGTACGCCTACCCTAATGATATTTAGACCATTCCCCTCAACTCAGTACGCCTATCCTAATGATATTTAGACCATTCCCCTCAACTCAGTACGCCTACCCTAATGATATTTAGACCATTTCCCTCAACTCAGTACGCCTACCCTAATGATATTTAGACCATTTCCTTCAACTGCTGTATACTGGGTGCTAAACAAATAACTTGCTGTCTTTTTGTACATCTCCAGATAGCATATGTATTGAATGCAATCAGTACATTTTTTTTTACTTTCTGTAGCTGTTTGTTTCATTCTTTGTATACCTTTTGGAAAACTATTCTCAATGACCTAATCTGTTGATTCAATGAACTGATCTGTTGATTCAATGACCCCCGAAGCTCATCTAGATGGTAGTAGCAAAGGATTTGGTTATGACATAAATTAACCATAGCCTAAAAAATGTGTTCATTCCAGGTTGTTCAGCCGTTATTGGTACTAATCCTCAAATCTTTCCAACTCATTTCTGTGACCAAAATTAGTGGTGTGACCATGGGTACCAAACTGGGCACTAGTTATGCCATACTTTTTATGGCTCAATTGGAATACATTGTAGAGAAGGCAGAATATACTGGCCGTATCCCAGAATTTTACACTGATCGCATCATTACCATGGAAACAAATGAACTCCAAAATTATTTTGATTTTCTAAACTCATTCCTTCCATCTATTAAATTCCCTTCACAAATCGCTGAGAAATCAGTAAACTTTCTGGACATTTCCCTTATCTTAAAAGAAAACGGATTATCCCCCTCTGCCTACTAAAAACACCTGACAGTTATAGTTATTTTTAGCATTCACTCTCCCACTCCAAATAGTGCAAATATGTTAGCACAATTACACATCATGATGCTTTCAAATCTTGCGTAAACAAAAATGAGGGGTCGAACAAAACTCATCCTTACCTACCACCTCACAAAACTCATCCTTACCTACCACCTCACAAAACTCATCCTTACCTACCACCTCACAAAACTCATCCTTACCTACCACCTTCACAAAACTCATCCTACCTACCACCTCACAAAACTCATCCTTACCTACCACCTCACAAAACTCATCCTTACCTACCACCCTCACAAAACTCATCACATACTCCTTGTTGTCTCTACGCTAACTGGGTTTTCTCATCCACTTATTGTATTCAGAAGGGATAAATATCTAAGTGATCTCCTGGTCCATGTTCAAGAAGCCGTTTTAGGACACCATAACAACATATGGAATGAATCCAGTCGTCTCTCACAAGTGGTCCACAATTTCTCTACATTTCTATTCTCATTTTTGGTAGTTTAAAATATTAATTTTACATTAATAATACTTTAATTATTTTACTTTCACAGTATGCACCACAGAATAATGTGAAAGGCACATTTTGGTTTTGAACAACAGAATTACCATTTATAATGTACGCCTTTGTTTCTGCAAAGAGATTGAGAGAGCTGCATTGCTATCTGGGAACACTTAAGTTTTTAATTTCCAATAATTTGTTATTTCTTGTCTTGTATTGTATGCTGAAGAAGGCATTTAACCGAAATGACCTTTTAATTGTTCTCCATTTTTTTTTCAAGCCAAGCCCAAACATATCTTGTTCCACTACTTATTTACTTCACACAGCTTGAACGCAGTCCCCTCTTATAATAACATTGTTCAGCTGTATGATTAATACCTGGTGGTTCAGATTTATTGATAGCTGATTGTTTTGTTTATAAATATTAATACCTGGTTGTTCAGCTTTATTAAAACCTGGTTGTTCAGCTTTATTAATACCTGGTTGTTCAGCTTTATTAATACCTGGTTGTTCAGCTTTATTAATACCTGGTTGTTCAGCATTATTAATACCTGGTTGTTACTATACACTAATGCCTGCTTATTTAGCCCAACAGTTTTACCTGGTTGTTCAGCTTGCAATTCATCCAAAGAAAATTTGGCTACGATGAGATGAGACTCCAGAACTGGTCCAAGAACTGAGACGAGGAAATGCAACCTTTCTCGGATGTCTGTTCTCTCCAAATTGACCTGTTTCAGAATGATAGGGTGAACAATCACAATGATAGAGTGAACAATCGCAATGATAGGGTGAACAATCACAATGATGGAGTGAACAATCACAATGATAGAGTGAACAATCACAATGATAGGGTGAACAATCACAATGACAGGGTGAACAGTCACAATGATAGGGTGAACAATCACAATGATATAGAGATAACAATCACAATGATAGAGTGAACAATCGCAATGATAGGGTGAACAATCACAATGATGGAGTGAACAATCACAATGATAGAGTGAACAATCACAATGATAGGGTGAACAATCACAATGACAGGGTGAACAATCACAATGATAGGGTGAACAATCACAATGATATAGAGATAACAATCACAATGATAGAGTCAACAATAAAAATAATGTAGTGAACAATCACAATGATAGAGTCAACCAATCACGATGATAAAGTCAATAATTAAAATGTCTTGCTTCTTCCATTGAGGCTCTTTGTACCAGTAAATCAAAGAGGATCAAAGTGGTTGAACACATGAAAGTATAATCATCAAATGTAAGTCACATTCATGTTTCCTGCTTAATACAGTATGAGGTAAGCCAAAGTTAAATGTCACTCAGCTAATCTTTATGGCAATAAAGAGACCATTATACTTTTTTAAAATAGATCAAACATTAGCAACATACCACTAAAGTTTGTTTCGGTTGATAAAACTCAGAGTCGTCATCGTCATCAACATCCATCGACACTGCCAGCCTATCAGCCCATCTCCTGTCTTTACCAGCAAACGTAAAGTCATCTCCCTGGACAATGATTTTTTATAAAATATTTTTTAAACATGACTTTACCTCTTTCACTGCACAGGACTTCCACCATAATTATTAGCTATATCTTTCACTACACGTGACTTGCACTATCATCATAAACTATAACAACTGCCAGTCTATACCAACACCTTATTGTATCCGGAAATTTGTTCAAAAACAATTTATTTGAAAGTAATTTATCAGGAGAAATGTTTTAAAGATTTATTTGATTGAAATGGAATTTGTTTGACAGAAACTTCTTTAAAACTTCAGTTATGGTTGGCCCCCTTGTGGAATATGTATCGATGCCACTATAGAAGGTATATAAAGCAGTGCTGCCATTGGATGGATGCCACTATTTATAGAAGGTATATAAAGTAGTGCTGCCATTTGGATGGATGCCACTATTTATAGAAAGTATATAAAGTAGTGCTGCCATTTGGATGGATGCCACTATTTATAGAAGGTATATAAATTAGTGCTGCCATTTGGATAGATGCCACTATTTATAGAACGTATATAAAGCAGTGTTGCTATTTGGATGGATGCCACTATTTATAGAAGGTATATAAAGTAGTGCTGCCATTGGATGGATGCCACTATTTATAGAAGGTATATAAAGTAGTGCTGCCATTGGATGGATGCCACTATTTATATAAGGTATATAAAGCAGTACCGCCATGGATTTTACTTTATGGTGGCTGCGTGATTTGTACTCAGTTCATCACTGACTTTTTCAAGAATCTTTAAAGAAATAGGATTCAAATAAATTTCTATAAACCTCTTGGATAAATAAACTTAAGAAAAATTACTGTTTTAACAATGTCCTCTTAAATAAATTTCATTGAACTTAATTTTAAATAGACCAACATACATAGACCTGCACATTTTCACTATGGTCTCAGGTCAAAGGGCCCATATCTCAACAGCTACTGGATCACTATGATGATGATGAAACATTAACTATTGACTCAATGAACTCAGTGACTCTGATCATTAATAAACTTCACAAAAAAATAAACAAAGACTAAACAGATAGCTATATTCTGATATTTAAATTTCTAAATTTTTAACAAATAGCCATATTTAATGGCTTGCTAAATCAGCCAAAATTGATACATGTGTGTGTCACAGTTTGTGAACATTTTAAGACAAACTTCCATAATGATGACGAATGATTAAATGTTGGATGCACATAAAATTATTAAGTAAAAAAACATTACAACATACCTTAAGGTCTTCCTCTGTAGAAAGGATTTCCTTAGTAATGAAATTCTCTATCATGCCAACAAGGGCATTGTTGAGATTATCACAGGGCTGAAGACAAATAAGAGGACATTGTAAGGTTGTGGACAGCACTTAACTTGCAAACATTAGGTTCAATCATATCAGCATTTATTTGTGTGAGATCAAATAAGCTGCATTCAAATGGCTTGAGCAAAATTGAAATAAATAGAAAGTTTTTTTAAAATGACGTTAAACTGATGTAGACAGTAAGGCATTAACACAGATGTAGTTTGACATCAACATATCAACACAGATGTAGTTTGACATCAACATATCAACACAGATGTAGTTTGACATCAACATATCAACACAGATGTAGTTTGACATTAACACAGATGTAGTTTGACATCAACATATCAACACAGATGTAGTTTGACATTAACACAGATGTAGTTTGACATTAACATATCAACACAGATGTAGTTTGACATCAACACATCAACACAGATGTAGTTTGACATTAACATATCAACACAGATGTAGTTTGACATCAACACAGATGTAGTTTGACATTAACACAGATGTAGTTTGACATCAACATATCAACACAGATGTAGTTTGACATCAACATATCAACACAGATGTAGTTTGACATTAACACAGATGTAGTTTGACATTAACATATCAACACAGGTATAGTTTGACATTAAGACAGATGTAGTTTGACAATTAACATATCAACACAGATTTAGTTTGACATTAACACATCAATACAGATGTAGTGTGATATTAACACAGATGTAGTGTGATATTAACACAGATGTAGTGTGATATTAACTTATCAACACAGATGTAGTTTGACATTAACTTATCAACACAGATGTAGTTTGACATTAACACAGATGTAGTTTGACATTAACACAGATGTAGTTTGACATTAACTTATCAACACAGATGTAGTTTGACATTAACTTATCAACACAGATGTAGTTTGACATTAACTTATCAACACAGATGTAGTTTGACATTAACTTATCAACACAGATGTAGTTGGACAGAAACACATCAATAGTTTGCTCAACTCACCGGGAGAAAAATGAACTCGTTATGAATGATGACACAGATTTCTTCAGCAACTTCGATGACCTTTTCTCTCAAGATTTTAGTTTCTTTGAAGGGTGAGGACGTTTGTAAATTAAAAATGGAGAGATTCCCTTCTAGCAATACAGCCACACCTATTGATTTAATGACCATTCAGACAGATTTAATAATCATTCAGATAGATTTAATGATAAATCTTGAGAAAAAAAAAATCATAATTAATTATGAGTTAATTATTAAATTGGGTTCTCACTGCATTGTGTTTTCATTAAAAAATAAGAAAAACAAGAATAAACGACTTTAATTAAACTATATAACTGCTTAAATTCCAAAGAATCTAAACGCACCTAACGCACTCTCTAGAGCAAAGTGTGTTGTAACAAGATTGCCATAATAGCTGAGCTCAAAGACTGAGGGCAAGGACAGGTTTGGGTACAGTTTCAGATCATTGTTCTCCTCATGCCTGAAACATTAAGTCATGGATATAGTCCGTTAAGAACGATGTTAACATTTTTCAAATAAAAACAATCTCCACATAAAATGCTTAAAAAATCTGACATAACTCAGCTTGCAATAACCGACAATTTAAAACCTACTTCATCACATGAAAAGCTGACAAGGCTTGTTAATTTCTTTCAAATGTAATTACTTGCAACATTTGAAATCAGTTCTAAGAGAGCAGTTCTAGTTGTAAGAGAGCAGTTATGACTACACAAGTGATAAGAAAGTGCCTCACCATTCCTTAGACACAAGCTCGTCCCCAAGTAAAGTCTGTGCATAGATAATGACATCCTCTGATTGTCCACAAAAGCCCACATCTTTGTTCTGGGCTTGGAGTTCCCTAACCATCCAATGGACACCTTTAGTCAACTCCCTCATGTAAGCTCCCTTAAGTTACAAGAGTAACATTTGGTCATATTACAAATTAGTGGCTAAAATGTTACTCTATAGAGAGTAAGACCTTACCTACTTTCTACATGCACCTGTCGCTTGAATATTGGGGATGTATTTTAATTTAAAATGAAACAAGGGAATGTAATTTGATACTGAAATGACAAATGGGAATGAAATTTGAAGCTGAAATGACACATGGGAATGTAATTTGAAAATTTTGCTTATGGAACAAAAATTTCTTTCACAGACTGGGAACAAATTGCAGAGTCATAGATTGGCAGCTCTAGGGCCAAAAATTTGTCTGACCTCTTGTGGCAATGTAAAAAACCAGATTTAGTCCTGCCAGCTATCTGGTCATTCATAAGAGCTGAGCTATCAGCTGGTATTTGAGCTCTCACAAAAAGTTTATCTGCCTCTTCAACATACAAAGTTGCAAAATTGATTTCTTGTGTGATTAAAAAAATTGGCACCAAAAAAAAAAGGAGAAGACATTTACCTGTCTGTATTTTGTCAAAAGTAAGAAAGCGAGAAGATGAGAAGCCATAGGGGGTGTGCAGTGGTCACTAGCTGGGGATAAAAATTCAACATTAGTGACATACTATTGGCTTAAGTAAAAATTCAAATTAGTGAGCTACTATTGGTTTAAGTAAAAATTCAAATTAATCACATACTATTGAATTAATTAAAAATTCAACATTAGTGATATATAATGGGTTAAATTAAATTTAAGAAAATATAATTAATTTAACAAGAGCATTCAAAGGTTTTGGATAATGTGAAAATGACAAAGAAACTATCAAATACTTTGCTTTAAAACCATTTTTGTAAGAAAATAAATACTTAAATAGCTAAAACATTGCAAAGAAAAAAACAACTGAGGAAATAAAATTGGTTACTGTTCTTTTAAATACCTTCAACATACATACTGAAATGATGCATCTAGATCAGGGCCATTTACTGCAGGGGATTCTTTCTCACATAACATTTTCATAGCCAAAATGTCATCAGCCATGATGCAAAATTGAATATGAAGCTTAAGTATATAAGTTGTATGTTGATTCGACCATTTATTATAAACTGTATGATCTGCAAGCTAAGGTTATATGTTGGAAGACATGTTTGTTAATATGCTTTGACCGCTTACTATAAACTGTATGGTCTGCAAGGGCCTTGACCATCATCCTAGTTTTCTCAGCATCCCCGTTGGTAGATAAAAGGGTTTGTGAAAAGTTGGGATAAGAATTTCCATAGTCCAACTGTACACATCCTGGAGTCACTGGGGCAGTCAGTGGGTGGTAAGGGTTATTTTTGGTGTTTTGCATGAATTCCTGAAACATAAGAAAAGTAATTTAGACTAAGAGATGAGATATGACTGTTTCCACACACACACACACACACATAACTAGGAGATGAGATATGACTGTTTCCACACACACACACACATAACTAGGAGATGAGATATGACTGTTTCCACACACACACACATAACTAGGAGATGAGATGTAACTATTTCAGCTGTTGCTCCAGACACACACAAAACTAGGAGATAAGATATAATTGTTTCAGCTGTTCTTCCACACACACTCAGACAAGCAGATGATATTTGACTGTTTCAGCCGTTACTCCACATACACATAACTAAGAGATGAGATATGAATGTTTCAGCTGTTGCTCCACACCAGTTCACATCCCAAGTCGGGTGTTCACATATCAGTGGATGATTGGGTTTTTAAAATAAAATAATGAAATACTTAACAAACTTTATTTGTCAGCAGGTAGAAAACAGGAGTTAATATCTTAAGACTGTGTACTTACCCTCAGTGAAAACGGCTGAGCAAAATCTACCCTGACACTGCCATAATTGTTGAAGAAAACTCGAAATATTGCCTTGACAGCACCCCAGAATGATTCTCTCACTTTACCCTGGCCCTGAAAATCAAATTATGAAATAAACCATTACTATTTTTAAGCTTAAGCCATGTAAAGATAAGAACAATGAGTGCCCAAATGCGGTAAATTTTTATGTAATATCAATAGTTATTAAATGAAGGCACAGCACATTAGGATTTTACCAATGTCAGTAACGATGAATTATCCACTCACCATCTGTTCAGTGCAATAATTTCCATCTATTATCTTCTCATAACTAAATGTGATTGGAACAATGTAAGCATCTGAGATTTCACCTGCGAATTCAATAATGAGAATTGGTGAGGTTTTTATTGTACACATCTGTTTTTTTAAACTCTAAAGCAGTTAGTATAATAAATCATTGAACTGAAAACAAGGCCAAAATGACTAAGAAGAAAGAAAAATAAAACTTATAATATAAGCTGATTGTAAGTCTAGTAAAATTTGTTGGTGATTGATAAGCTTTCTAGAGAAGATCTTGATGTCGACCACTGTAGTCCTACCTTCATTGAAGGCCTCCACCACGACAGATAAGAGACCACCTTTTGGTATCACCGCCTTCCCAGTCCGTGTCCTGCCGCCCTCAAGAAAAAACTCTAAACCTTCTCCGTGACTCAGAAGTTTTGTCATGTACTGGAAACATGAATTTGAAAGAAATCCCTGACATCAATCATCAAGCTACAAACAAACTATTGAAGCATTTTTCACAAACAATGTTTATCAAGAAATGCAAACTTTTAGTTAAAAATGCATCATCAATAAAATAAAGTTGTAATTTTGAAGTCTGCACATTTCACAGAAGGGTTAAATGAAATGAACTCACCTCATGTAATATTGCTCTATAGAGAAAATCCTTTTGGCCTGCTTTTGTGTCAAGGCGACGGCGTATGAAAAAACCTCCTAGTCCCCTCATGAGTAAACTATAAGCAAATTACATACATGTTCAATCATTCAATTTGATTTTTATTACTCATCAATTATCTGTACAAGAAGCAAGTAATAAATGTTAAATTCAAGCTATATCTTTTGTGTTTAACTTATTTCATATATTTAATATTACGGTGTGCCACTAGTCATTTACTTGAAGAATGGAATGTCCATGTTGTCCCCAGCAGCAACATATGGTGCTCTAATATCATAGTGCCACAAGATTAGAGTTACCAAGATGTAATCCAAATGACTTCGATGCAGGGGCAGATAAATCATAGGAACACCTTTCTGAAAATGTACAATAAACTCCAAGTTAAATGATGGTAACTGTGGATCTGAAAAAAGAAATGCATGTATACTAGTCAGCCATATAACTGAATAATGAGCATATTAATCACTCTTAATTTACAGGTTAAAGTGTAAATTATAAGTGTATGTCTTTTTACACTTAAGTGTATTATATCAAACTGTTCAGATAATTTTGAAATTTGGTCATGCGCATTAAGAGAGAGAGGGATGGGATTGGGGGGGGGGGGGGGGGGGGGGGGGGGGGGGTTGTACATTTGTTCTGTCTGGCTAACCTGGCTAGCTTGTTTGACCATCATCATCTGACCTCTACATACTTGGACACTGCGTAAAAATTTGGAGAGGAACTTTGTCAAAAACCAAGCTGTCAATCTGAAAGCAAAGATAAGATAGAAGATACAATCACAAATCTTTAAAAATTTAAGACTAGAGAGATAAACAGAGAAATTTCCACTATTTGTTAATGCATTAAAGTACATAATCAATGTTCAATATTTGCAGCATTAAGTGAGTGCCTGACTCTTGGCTTACTTTATGAACGTTGAAGAAACAGAAGCTTTCATTTTGTTAATTGTAAATATGCAGCTCTTTCGGATGACTGCTATCTGTTTGGTCAGTGAGCCTTCATCTACTGGAAACAAGACACAGAAAAATCAACAGGGAATCACCATCTCATGAGCTATAATAGCACTCAATATGTTTAAAATTAATTACCCAAGCACTTTCCAATGAGGTGTGTTACTGTGTTGATTCTGTTAGTGTTTTATAAGATATATAACAGGATAGTAGCTTAAAAAATAATAAAACAACCCAGCAAGATTTGAAGAAAATTCCTACCTTGCAGTATGTGGATTTCTTGACTTGCTGTCATCTCAATGGCATTAATGACACTAGAATATCAACAGAACGGTTTATTATTTTTTAATTGAAACCTTTAAAAATTATAGTATCTAAAGCAATCATACATCATCTCAATGGCATTTATGATACTAGAATATCAACAGAACGGTTTATTATTTTTTAATTGAAACAGCTTTAAAAATTATAGTATATAAAGCAATCATACATCATCTCAATGGCATTTATGACACTAGAATATCAACAGAACGGTTTATTATTTTTTAATTGAAACGGCTTTAAAAATTATAGTATATAAAGCAATCATACATCAATCATTTGTTGTGATTTTTTTCTCCCCTATATTCAGTGATCTCTTATGTTAACATCTGCTGTGCTTTATTTTATAACACATCAAACTGAAAATTGACGTCAAAACTTAATTATTACTGATATTTCAATGGGACTTAAAAAATACAATAATTTATCTCACCGTGGACTATTTAGTACTGCCATAGAAAGATCTGGATATGTGTCAAATAATGGACGTCTCAAAGCATAAGCTTCCACATTAAACCACCTTGACAGGTAGCCTGTGTTACTGGAGGAAGTAAACCACATTTAATTAATTACACGTTTTATAAAATAAAACTTCCTCATACATTCTTTATTATGAAATATCAAGTTAATCTAACCATTATATATTTTTTAATGCACAAAAGATCTAGACACCAAAACACAAACTTCCTTTCAGTTTAAAACGTTCATTGTAAGTAAGTTAAGTATATTAAATAATTAATTATTTATTTTGATCTTGTCAGCAAAACACTTACGCCATTTCAGTTCTAACGTCCAGTATATTTCTTATTCCTACATCCCTCAACTCAGGTCTTATGAACTCCCGCTGTCAAAATTATAAAGGATATAACATTTCAACGCAACAGCAGAGAAATGAGACCAATTCAGTTATAACTGCATATGCCAAGAATGATTATTACTTTCAAAGGCAATAAAATATGCATGAAATCATAGATATGACTTTACTATGATACACAGGACCTTATTATAAACAACAAATTGGACAATGATCATTTACAAGAGGATGTATGTAAATCGATGTTTTATCCATTCAGATTCTATCAAGTGTAATTTTATTACATAATACACCAGTCACTTTAATGTCCTTAATTCTCTTATATGCACTGCACTGTTTTATTCTACATCTTTTCTTTGTACTGTGCTCTATCATATTCCAATTCCAACTCAGACATGCTCACCCGACTCTGAGGCATACAAGCACAGCAAGCACCCATCAATGGTCTGTTAGTTGTGAAGTGATCAGGTTGGAATGACGGGGTCAGCTTGAAGGCACTGATTGTCTCAATATCAAACTGAGAAGGTTGGAATCACATTAATATGGCTAATGTTAGACTATAGCTAATAGACAAAAATATAAGCATTTTTTTTAAAATTACACATCTATTAATTATATATATTATATAGCATTGAAGGTTAATAAATCAAATTTAATTTTAAACAATAATGAAAATTGAGTGTATAATAGGATAAAGTATATCCTTAACTGAAATTATTATGCAACCAACTAAAATCAATAATGTTTTTCTTGTGCACTTTTGTATGAATAGGCAGTGCTGGTCTAATCCTAAGTGTAGTCATATGAACAGTCAGTGTTTTGTCATAACAGTGTGATTGATGGACACCTCACTGCAAATCCAATGGAATAATTAACAGGCCATAAACTACATTCCTTGTCTGCACTATAATATTTAAGCATAATGTTTTGGAGACATTCACAATCACACAGCATAAAAAAATTTAAATGCTTAATAATGTAAACATCACATTGTCAAACAATGACTTATGAGCTGTGTTAAATGGTTTAGGCAAATCAAGCTGTAGCTTTAAAAGGCTTCAATTGGAAGGCAAGGACATTAAATCACTGTCAAAAGTCAACATTTTAAAAGTCAGCTATAGTCACTTTCAGTCTCGAAATTCTATCTCAATCCCAATACTTTCATATTAAATTTGATTTTTCTTTCACCCTTTTGAGACAGAGCCCTTTTGGAGTGTTGGTGCCTAGAAGACGGAGCCCTTATTACTTTACAGATATAAAACTATATATATTATTATAGGGAATTGAAAGAACTAATATGATCTTTATGAATCAAACTGAGATCTTAAAATGTATGCATAAATTTGCATAATTTTTTTTTTTTACAATCAGGATAAACACATCTCACTTGCGGAATTTGTTAAATTCTTTGATTGTTGACACCTAAATAAGTCCTAACCTATATTTGAATGGGATGCAGTGTGAAAAACTACATAAAATATTCCTGAGGCTCCTTATGCCTTTTGACATTTTTCAAGGTCGCATACTTTTTAAGCATTTTCGGGGGGGGGGGGGGGGAAATAAGTTCAAACAGAACACAGTAAAATAGTGATGGAAGCCGCTATTAAAATGGCAAGATGAACGAAAAATGCAAGAAGCAATCTGATTAGCTGGTATGAAGACCAGCCAGCCAACTTCGTGGCTTGAATTTTCGGGCAGATGGATTGGCCATTCGACCCTGGGCTGATAAATCAGCCCAGCCGTCCCAAAGGGTTAAAATGAAATGTTTCAATAACTTTTAAAATATATTTTTTTTCTTAACTATAAACATTTTCAAACCTGTTGAAATACTTTTTAACTAAATGGGGCTGTGTACCATAGGAATTCATTAATTAATTTAATCAACAACCCTGTGCCACACACATAACTCTAATGTGCCATATAATCACAAAAAAACAAAGTCTTCAAAATGTGAAATTCTTTTCCTATCTAAAATAATTTTATAAAAATAAAATATTTCAAATGGGTTAGGCTTTGGAGACAAAAAAATCTATGCACAAGGTGTTTCTAAATATTTTTTATAATTAATTAAATAGTTAACATTTCCTATGAGTTTTTAATATACATAAAACAACTAACGTTTCCAATCTAGTAAGATTTAAATCAGAAGCCCTATTTTAACTACAGAATAAAATACTATACATTCATAGCTTATCTTTGCTATCACAAATTCAAGCACACAACCTTGTATACTTGAAATATATAATTAAAATCAAGTGCTCAATAAAAACTACATTTATTATTGCATAATTAAATAATATTTATAACTTGACAGTTTAAATACTTGTAATGATCTTAAAGTTTCCTACAATTTATTCATTAAAATAATAGTAGTTGAATATTAGCCCAAAAACGATTGATACCCATTTTTTAAACAATAAACCATTTTTAAACTTATCTGTTATAAAATTTTGAGTAGCATTAATTCACTTTTTACAAAATATGTGTGTAGTTTGTGTAATTTATTTCAATGAGCTAAAATCAAAACCATACCTGGCATCAGTGGAATTTAGCACATTTTTTAAAATTTTTTATTTAAATGAACATACCCTTTTTTCTGCATCCACTTGTGTTGTACGTCTCCGGAATAAGCGTCTCTGAGGAACAGTCGGGTTGAATTGATGTGGAGGTCCACTGCCTCCCAAGGTTCTCATCTTCTTTGTAGACATTTTTTCAAAATGTAGACTAGTTGTACGGTCTTATCAAATATTCAAAGCCATTTTTTAAGGCCTAGATATAATTAAGCAATATAAAAATAATGTTATTTTTATATTTTATATAACCCAGTTTTCTATTACTTTACATTAGATTTAAGCAGCACAATAAAAATGTTTTAAAGAACTGTACGGAACTCATTTTTCTCTCTGTTCATGCATAGATGAAATGAAATAAATATACAAATATATTTTTGAGTGATTTTAATCATTGCAACTCAAAACCATTTTCTATGCCTCCTTTTTTAAATTTATTAATTAGTATAAAATATCTGTTTTATGGTACTAACTTAAAATTTATTCAAAATTTATTCCTATAAATTTTCTTAGCAGACAGGCACTGATTTTATTTGATTTGTGTCACGATAGGAAACAATAATAAGGAGGTCATTATCATTAGGGGACCATGGTTCTTTTCAGTTCCTATCATGGTCTGTCTAATAAATATGAAACTTAAAACTGCCAGCTTTCAAAGTATGAAATTGTTGCCCTAAAAAGCAACAGTTGACCAGCTTATGTGGCTTTGAGCAAGGAATTAGTTAAAGCTCTTAAAATTTTCTGGCAGGTCAAACAAAATAGATATCTTAGTTAATTGTCGGCAAAACTACACTCCTAAGGAGGGAGATGATGCCAAAAGAGGGAGAAAAAGCGTTAATGGCTAAGCACAAGGTTAAAATCTGAACAAAGACAAATATCACTCATGAATCCTTGTTTTACTTTAAAATTATTTAACACTCATTGAATATATCAGAGGCTGCCATTAGTGTAAACAATGGATGTCCTATAGGCTAGTTGGAGAAGACACTATAGTATAAGCCAGGGATCCCCAAACCGCGACCCGCTGGTCGGATCGGCCTGCGTGGCCAGTTCATCCGGCCCGCAGACAGTAATAAAGTTTTCTTGATAAAACATATGCAAAACGAGATGTTGTGATACAATTTAAATTTCAATATTATGATTAGAATACTAGGTGATCTTCACACGTGTGGATACCTCCTGGGTGCTATGCGCCTTAATTTACCATTTTAAATTTTAAATTAATGTATCTAGATTTTCTTGTTTATTACAGACCCATTTACCCTCGAACTCCTAAAATCGTACAATACGGTATCTTAATAGTAAATAAATAAACATACACTATGCAAAATGAATACAATAACTAATCGCATCGCAGTGTATAATGAGATCGAGTGAAGCTGGTGCCAAAAAGGTTTTTTACTAAATGTAGATGACCGACGTTTATTAAACAATCTGTGGTCACTTTGTTTTGAACATGTGTATTTGCTATAGATATTAATTTATATTGAGTAGACTAGAGTATCACATTATCACAGTCTATCACTGGTAAAAATAAAGTTACTGGTGAAATTTAGCATGGTTGAAACTCGAAGTGCTTATTAAATATGATGATATCATTTAAAAAACCTACCAAGTAACTTGAGGTTGTTGTTTATAGGAAAAGCTGGTTTAAAAAAAAAAAAAGAATCAATTTCCATTAAGCCTATTCCCACTATTAATTTAATGGAAGAACAGTACTAAACAAGGAAATCCTTTTGACAAACTCTGAGATAAGATTACAAAAGGCAAGGCACCAACTTAGCTGGGAGGGAAATTGCAAATCTGAAATGGATCAGAATGTTGATGTCACCCAACAATGTTCACGAATTGAATTCTCAAGCCATCTCATTATCATTATTTTAAAAAAAAAATAAATGATTATAATTATTGTAAGGGGAATTTTGCAAAATTGGCATGATCAGTCATTTTCTCTGATCTGGCTGACAATTGACATATTTGAATATTCGATTATTTATAATAAACACCATTAAGTGCTAGTGTAAGATTGAAAGTTTTAGAAAGGAAAATTAAAAGGGTCAAAAGGAGAAAATAAAAGCAGAATAAAATATTATAATTTAATGTCTGCTGTGGGATTGGATGATTGGTAGACAAGTTAGTGCTTTGGAAATGGAAAGAAGAATAAATATGAAAATACCGAAAAGTATTCAGAAACAGCTTCAACTTAAAGTTAATGCTTACTAGAACTAAAATATACTTTAAAAAAATATGATCAATGATAAAAAAAATATTTAATTTTAAGTCTTATTTCTTTCGGTTTCAGGCGAGATGCAAGCCGGCTACAATTTTGGTAACCATAACTTAACTGCCAACTTAAATATCCTCGTCCTCATTTCACACTCACTTTGTTTTCTATCCCAAACGTACAATTAGTGAACTAAGTCATCTTCAAAGTAGATTAACAGAACAGAATTGACAATAATGATGAAATGTATTCAGAGGTCACCGACATCATTGTTGACAATCCATTTCATTTAATAAACACATGAGTTTAGTGTAGTTTTTTCTACTTTTTAGCATAAAAGAGCTCGATTTTCAAAACTCAAACCTTATATTTATTACGGACTAATTAGAAAATAAAGAATTACATAATAAGAGAAAATTAGATTAAAAATCAGTCGTGTTCTGCACCTCAACACTAAGGGTCTGCAGCTATTATTTTTTTAAAGTAAAAAAAAAACAACTTTACAAGTATATAACATCGCTGAAAGAGTATGTCTATAACAAAAGCCGTTTGTCTTGTTCAAGGTATGGAGTATTAGTATATTATTATTAAAATTAAATATTAAATTTAAATGGCATAAAAAAGAAAGTTGAAGTTGTCAACTTAGTTGAAGTAATTGTAGTATTAGTATGCGGGCTGGTGACCATGGCCATAAATTTGCCATAAATTATAATTTTTACTTTATTACTTGATTACTAGTTACTAGTCAGTATTAACAGTAACAGTACACAGTGTCAGTGACAGTATCATGTAATGTAAGATGGGTATGAGTATGAGTAGAGTAATGAATATGTTATTAATTGAGCATGGGCTGGCAATAATAGTAAAACATAGGCATAGGCACTCCTTAGAGAGTGCCAAAACATATGCCTGTGGCGTCGACTATGGGTATGGTATAGTGAGTGATAATAATATAAAGGCCGGCACTACGTACACCGAGGCGGTGTACCTAGCGAAACTATTGACTTTGGCCTGCGTACACCGTGGCGGTGTTTCTAGCTAAATCATTGTCTGTGGCCTGAGTACACCGCAGCGATTTTAAGTAGCAAAACCATGGTCTTTGCGAGTCTTAAACTTTTTAGCCTAACTGGTACTTGTAGATTTAATGTTATACTCTTGTTAAAACTGGAAACTATTTATTTAAAATCGTTAAGTACCTTGGGAGGAAGCTTTTGAGTAAGTTCCATGCTTATAACTTATGTGGCAAAGTACTTGTAGAGCATTTCTTATTATTTATTGGAAGGGAGGGGGCTGGGGGTGTAAAGTAATGTTAAACCATGATTTATTTTTAAAGTTAACCACTTTATTTCTCCCCCCCCCCCCCCCCC